TAGCTGTTTACTAGGCAACAGTCCTATAAAGACCATGCCAACTCATATCCGCACAGAGTGGAGAGTTGTATTTGGTTTTTGGTGATCTCTCATTAATTTGAGCTGGTGTTCATAGTCCCTGTGGTTATTCGTCTTAAGTAGTACTCTGAGGAAACCACTAAGAATACATCTTTATAGAGGATACAGATTGTTTGTATGCTATGTAGGTATTCGTAACGTCACATTTTTACTAGTTGAATTTTAACCCAATATCGATCGCTTATTTTTTTAATGCTGTGAGGTCTTTTTAAAGCCCAAGTGGATCCTTAAAGTTTCACATGAACCTCCATGTAGTGTCATCGTCAGCGTATAGAAGGAGTCGGGAAACTAATTTGTCAAGAGGTTGCTGATAGAAACCTGTGGGGAGAGTAAGCTTGTAATGGTTTCTTGCAATAATCCCGATGTTACAACTCTTCAACTCGTCAGATTTCTGTGTATCTTGATGAGAAATGTCCAATTCCCCAGTAAATTTCGAAGCCAGGATAAAGTGGATAGTTAAAATCTATCTATAAAACCTTCGCTATTGTGAGCACTTGCGGTGCTGCGTCGGAGGCCCTAGTAAGATCAAAAGATAATACATCGACCGGTATGTTTCGATCTTGGAGGTTTAACAAGCTTTCCTATGGTATAAAGACATGTAACGTACAGGATCCCTTTTTCCAAACCTGTGTTGGACGTCATGAAGAATATTTTTTATCTATGTGGTGTGACTAGTTTGTAGCAGTTTGTGTCTTTCTTATCTCCTGCTTTGAAGATTGGATGATCCACCGTGTTTCCATTCCTTCGGAAGGTTCGGTGACTCTAGGGGATCCTTGAATAGGTCACACACCGATGTACTGATGGCTTCTGAGTATTGTTTCAAGGTTGTGGAGCAGATGTCGCCACACCTTGGTGACTATGTTCGGCACATGGACTTTGGCCTACTTGGTACTAAATTGGTAGTTAGATGGATATATCTCAAACCATCAACTGGCTATAAAGCCAAAGATCGCCCGCATCTGCAGGTCCCTGGTTTAATTAGACGGAAAAGCTGCCATTAAAGATTTCTAACACCTATAGATCGGTAAGATCTTCGCTTTTAGCACAAAACCTCTGGTCTGTAGGCTTTCCTTTAATCATAAACCTGTAGAGATATTTCGAGTTAGCTTGTATTTTATCGACTAGCTTGACCTACAAATATTTCTCATCTCTTCGAACTTTGGCATTGTATCTGTTTCTCAACGCCAAGTGAGACATATGGTCAGAATCCTACACAAGGAATTTTCACTTGTACTAGACTCAATGATCAGCTTGTTCTATCTTCTCATGTTGTACAGAAGATTTTCTGCATATATTATTTTCTAGTCCATTTTCGTTAGGACAATTAAGAAGTCGATCTACACAAACATTAAGCTTTGATTCTAATAGTGATCAGTAAGAAAAGTGATACCACTTCTCTTTTTTTATCTTTATTGGCAGTGGTGCTGTTTAGTTCTAAGGTAAAAATTTGTACTACTAAACAACTGGGCCGTCTGAAAGCATTTCGTTTTCAAATAAAATACAAATAAAGAATTTGAGTCTCGACATTTAATTGGAACTATTTACACTGAACGAGCTACATCTAATCATTATTTGCAGTCAATTAAACAATTGATTTAGGCAACAAATTGTGTTCCTAGTTGTGATATCTTACCGTCCCATCAAATACCAAGTGACAAAATCCCCGATCACAATATTGACTTATATGGTCTTGTCCCTGTACTAAACCAATGACACGTCAACCAGCACTATCAGCCCTGAGTCGACTCTGAATCCCTGATGGTTCTGTAATCCAAAATAGAGGATATTGGTGCAATTGTTTCAACAACTATTCTCGACATTTTGTAGGTCAATTTCTTCAAGGAGATACTCAAGAGTATCTCTGTCTTGAATATATACTGGCTCTTTGAGTCAAGTATTTTATATTGTATGGGGCGTAAAATCCCAAAAGTGTTCTCACAGAATCACAAGGCTATGGGAAATGACCGCAACTTAACAAACACCTATGCATCCACTGCATTCTACTAAGAAGCCTTTTTTAATATCAGCATTTAAAAATACCTCCTTTCCAGAACTTGTTGAAGAGTGTCGCAATACGCAAGTCTTGAGCAACAAAGAAAATTGGAACTGACTGTTCCACTTGTGGACTGTCAAGAACTCAGAAAACCCAGTGTAAGTAGACCCACACTTCACTCACATGAGGCTCGCTCAGCTAAAGAGAACAAGGAAGCTTATGAGATCCGAATCAAAAGCATCGATCACGTATGTACGAACGTCCGGAGATTGGCGAACAGATGGATGAGTTGCATGAACCATGTAACGCTAATAGCATTTGTCCGTTAGGAATATCTGGAAAGTTGGCAAGTTTTCAAATTACGGACCATGAGCTAGCAATAATCGAGGTGTATTTGTTTCGGTACAACATAAAGACTGGAATGTCAGGCGAGGCAGCCCTAAGCCTACGATCTTATACGATAGTACATCAAGTGTAAAATCAAGAGTTTGTATAACTATGGTCTAGTTCGTTATTAGTACTACTTTATTAAAAGGCCTAACCCTAAAATAACAGATTTGTCATGATGTGACTATATAATCTACAAGGTCCTATGTGGAAGTCGAACCACTGTCTACACTTACTTATCCTATCGTGACAGCAACATGATACTTAGTACTTCTGAAGAACACATTTAAGCTGGAAACAGAATGATATATTAGAGATGAATAAAGACAGGATATACAGAATGATTACGTCTGCGAGGCTGACCCATGACATCCGATTGAATTGAGTATTGTTGCGTTCACCATTTTTGGTCTTCTCTCCGTGTTAAATGATGAGTATCTGTTTTCCCGGTTATCTCATGTTCAACCATGAGGATTGTATGATTAGGACCAAAACCACTACAATTTTACCAATCTCTATGGATCAACATGATGGTCAGTGAGTTTGTCTAACCCGTCGAGATGTCCAGTTGCAGTCATCTATAGAAAATCCACTGCTGACAACAAGTATGACAATCATTCGCAGAAGGGGCTATCCACTATTTCTGGAGCCAAGGTAGCTAAGCACACGTACAATGAAGATAATAACTCTACTAAAATTCAGTTCCTCAACTCTAGCGAGGGTTTGCAGTTTTTTGAAAATATAAAATTATCAACTTTGTGAAGAAATACTTCGACGCTGTCGCGCTCAGACTACAATATCATAAAGAATTCCTATTTGATAACTTTTCAGTCCTGGATGTTACATACCTTGATCTCTGAAAAGCTTTTAGTTGTGTCAATTGTACATGTCTCAACAATAAGCACGAATGGTTAGATATCAAGTCACCATTTACTAATTGGCTCACTTCATGTCCGAACAACAGACATTTTAGAGTCAGGATAGAATTCGCCTCATCTCAGACTACGGAATGTCATAAACGGTGCCCTCAGGATTCAGTACTAGAACCTCTTCTTTTCCTTAATTCCTAAAAATAGCCTTTCTCAATAAGTATCGTCCGATTTGTCACCTTCCGCTGACGAGGTAAACTCTTGAGAGAAGTTCGTAACCAATATTATAAATTGGCACTTCAAGTGGATCTGAGTGGACTTCAATGTTGTGCGGATAACAACGGGCCTACTTTCAACACTTCAAAGTGTGAAGTAATCTATCAGAGAAATGTTGCAGATTACTCATACACCTTGGTGACTCTCCTCTGGAGGTATCTTGAGTTGAACACGATTTGGGGTTTCTGATACCCTATGATCCGGAGTGTTATGCCAACTGCTACAAAAATACCTTTCGAGCAAACCAAGCTCTGGTAACGCCTATACTCAGTTTGGGGGCTCAAATTCAAACCGTATGGAGAGGTTCTCAAATCGCTCTATATTTACCCATCGGAGTATATACGTCTCAGAGGTGACCTTTTAATGAGTTGTAACATTCTGAGCACCCCATCAAATATTTTCTTCAGCTCGGTTTCGACACAAACTTAGGGAGCGATACCTGGAAGTTACAGTAACGACATAGCAAAACGGACTATCGGTACACCTACCCTCTAGGGGTGGTAAAATCCTGGAAATTCACTGCCGTTTAAAGTGGTTTAAGATACCTCCTAGGAGTCTTGTAAGAAAAAGCTTGGCATATTCATAAGTTCAAATGAAGATACAAAATAATCAAGGGGGTAATAAAGGAATATTAAGGTGAAGATACAGAGGACGTCACAGGCATTGTAGTTTCACAGCATTTTATTCAGCAACACATCCTATAATTGAATAGTGCTCACCCAGTGAAGTCAAAAGTCAAAAGCAAGGAGGTTCGAAGATATATTTGGTGGATCATTAATATATATCGAGAGTTGACTGATCTAAACTGGCTAGTGATCGCAGGGGATGTTGGGCACGGCATTCCAACTCGTGATCTGGTGCGGATGCATGACTGAGCGCCTTCAGCTAGGTGAGTCCACTGAAACTAATATGGTGAGCATCTAATGTCGAACACCTACAGAGCTATTGATTTTGAGATTTTTTTACCGCTAAAACACGAAGGTACAGTCTAAGTAAATGGTTTGCCGGAAAGAAAATTCTCTTCACTGAATTCCCTTAATTTTCATTCAATAACATAATGGGTTATTTTAATATTCTTGATGACACAGAATAGTATCTCGATCTGATTTACTGATATCATTCGGCAAGACCTACAGATATTGAACTGTTTTAGAGTGTTGAGCGATTTACTTCTCATCAAACAAACTGATTGAACAGGAACCAATGGTATGGAGATTAATGTTCTAGCGTCAGTAGATTGTCGGCCAGTTAATCCATTCACAAATCTCCAACAAAGGTACTTTATAGGACGACGTCTTGTGGATCAATTCTTTCAGCCTTCAGCCGTACCATTTTTCTAATTCAAAAACATGATCATACTGCAACAGTGACTAATTATGTGTGTTGTTTTAGTTAACATACCAGCACGACCCGCTTTTCAAATAATTGCCATTGTCTGACCAGCATTAGCCTAATGGATTTGGACTAGGTTATACTTCATATTGTCTATGAAAGATAGACTTAGCAACGGTAATTGGTGGGTAAAAAACTAGTGCGTTGCAATTGGGGTCTTATCTGTTTGGTCTCATCATCATTTAAGCTAGATTTTTGACACTTACATTGATGTTCTTGACCGATATTTTCTCCCTAAAACACCTAATGTTTCGATTAATTTGTGGAGATTATGTAGTTAAGCTAAGACAAGGTAAAAGTAATCTAATAACAAGAATGTTCGTTTATTTCAGAAATTAGAAGCTTGAGGTAGAAACGGAATATCTTTAAGACTGTATAGACAATGATATCATGTACATACTTTTGCACTAAATAATATGTTCTGTACACTATTTATTTTTGTATTACAGCTGCGAACAGCTCGGTTGTTCATGTTCGAGATTTTTTCATGTTTCCATTTTTGTATTTTGATAGAAAAATACAAGTTACACAATAAAATCTCATTTGCAGTTAGAAGTGTCCTCCTTTCCGTGATACGAAATGAACTCCTAACTTTGTTGGGTCAAGTCAGCGAATTAATTGTTCTCTTAAACGTCACTCTGACGGCCACTCAAGACGTCCGTTCATCCTACGTATCCTAATTAGTGATATAAGTTTCATTATAATGTGTGTATTCCATTGTTTTTGAGGCACTACTCGGTAATGCTCGAACTAAGGCTAAGTAACATGCACTCGTTAGTTGGTAAAGCCAAAAGCTCATCGACTGGTGGTTAGGACATGTGTCCATGATTAATCACAACACGCTTCGTGCAATATTGTACAACATAGTAGTTTTGAAAAAGAACCAGGCACAAGCAAACCGACGCACTGAGACCTACGCAACACATATAGTCATTGGAGAATTTGGGTGACCTTTTGTTAGAACAGTCACAACCGCATAAATAGATCTATCTTCTAAATCATGAATTAAACACTATCCCTTCTCATTTCTCAGTCTCATTTTTACGAAATATGATTCATGCTTAGGCCCCCACAACTTCTATTATTTTACATCGATCGCTGAATATAATTGTGCAAATTGTTTGGTCTTCGCTCAATGATATATATTCCTACCACCAAATTTGATGTGGCGTTCACCACTCTAGTCTGCAAACCTCTGTACTGGTTCGTGTGCTTAGTCTGTCTAGTATGTCTCAGCAAATAAGTATATCTTCTTTCAAGATGGCTCTAATAAACGTTCTGTAGACCTGTTTATAGTAGTCTCGCCTTCTATGTGGGAGTAGACACTACAATTTAGTGATAATCCGTAAGTGATTTGTTTAGTAACGTAACTTCTAACCACCTTTTATGAGGCCGACACAAAATGTACACCAGATATTTTGTAGTTTTCTCTTCTTACAAAGACAATCGCATTTAGATTTGGTCACTTCAAACTCCTACACATCACATCGCCAGAGTGAAAATAACAATAAGTGGTAAGAGAAATGAACAGTATATTTCCTGATATACAAATAAAGATGGAAAATGGACTTGCGTTATCTTGTTAGGTTCTTAGTCACTCTACCTAAGTTCTTCAACCAACTCTTCGGATAAGCACCAACTCTAACCAGAATTTGAGACACGACAGCTCAGATTAAATGTCATACCTCTGGGTGTCACTAAACCAGAAATGAGAACCCAATACCAGAACAGTTTGGGAAACAGTGATGTAGATTAAACACGGAGAAATCTCAAATCGTTCGTCAGGAGAAACTGTTTGCACGCTTTCACTCAGCATCTCTGTCAGGTTGTGTCTCATATCCAATCAAAATTTCTTTTTACATACGTGTGTTCTATCGTCACTTTTGAAGTTAGTAATTTTCCTGAACAGTCCCTAATAAATCCTCTTATCGGAGCTCTGTTAAAGTCAATTAGCTCTATTCCATTTTATTTATTTATTTAAACACATAAATATTGGTACAAGGAAGCACCAGATAAATACGCGCCTCACAAATCTCATTTGATTTGTGTGAGGGCTGTGATACTGCCCAGGTGCCCAGACTGAAGCAGGTGGTTTTCTTAGGGGGCCACACCCGGAGCCTTTGACCTGAATGTCTGATCCACAAGGCATTGAAACATCGTGAGGAGATGCAGTCCCATGGTAGCCGTTGACCAATGACAGGTTCGTCCGCCATTCGTTCCATCAGGATACTGGAGCCCATGTGCACCATTGGTTTAAAATCAGGGTTTTCCAACTCCCCTAGGTGGACCCTCCGTGTCCACCAACACGGTTAAAGCGCCGGACATTCGCTTTTCGTCCTCTCACTTTCGTAAACAACACCCTGGTGCGAGAAGGCAGTGAGTAGGACTTCCCTGGCAGAGGCTATATATTCGCTGGCCATGAGAGTATTTCGAGAGGGAGAGGTGACTCTCCCCACTCTCGGCCGTACCAGAGCATTTTGGGGCTCTCTATTCCGTAGAGATAAGTTATCTTCAGATGATACCCGCTAACCAATCTACGTCAATTGTATTTACAGCGAGACTTTAACTTATGGATGAACCAATAAAATGTAATAGGTCTTGTATTTAGCGCGAAATTCATTCACCCACCTGGCTAAATAACGTTTTGGCATCTCAACTGATGTCAGTTTGTAATGAAAATTCTAACTCCTAACCCTATTCATCAACTGTAAATCATAAACTCAATTTATCACACTGGTTCATAATCCTCATTTATCCCAAGTGAGTAGGTGAATATTCTCATGGTTACTTTAGTGTCTCTCAAAGGTCGTCCGTAAATTATAGTCTCACCGTTTTTACCAGCATTTTAAGTTCAGTAAACTGATGGTGTATACAGGTATCCAGTTACCTGTCACAAAAACATTAATTTAACTTATTTATGGGATAAAGATATGTTAAATAACAGTGTAAGTAGTCGTGTTCAAAACCTTCGACACCAATCTAATCTATTCTTCAAGTTCATTTCAAACCGTATATGGTCGAATGCCTTAATTTGTTCTTTTTTTCTCCTATCCACCGTTCAAAGTGGTTTGTTTCTGGTCATTAGGTGTTAGGTCCGAATCCTACCTCATCTATTTCCGTTTAAACGGGTGGATAATATGACTAACTATAAATTTTATCGTAATACTGCTTTCACGAATCTACACTTCGTAAATGAGTCACATCAATTAATATATCAATGTCTTTTTCAGAACAAGTTTCGCACATTTTACTCATTTTTCGTCCCTTTTTATTTGCTTTGTAGTTGTCTCGTGATAACGCTTTCCGGGGCCCATGCACCCAACTAGTATGGGGATTCTATATATGCTATAATTTTCCCGAGTTACATAAAAAGTCTGTGATATGTCTAGCCGATCGCGTCAAAGGCGCAAGCGTTTTATCAGTGGGAGCACTTTGGATGAGACCTCTTCCTGTCGTGCAAAGAAAATGCTTATAAGTACCGTACATCATTCCAAATCCCAATGTAATGAGCAGCATACCTCTTTACCGTCTTCACCAAATTCTCCTTTTCTGGACTCCGCAAATATGCTATTCCATAATTCTGATATCGGCTTGGGCACTTATGTTAGTCGGAAGGATATTCCTGTCGATCGTTCTGATCCAGTTGAAGATGAGAACTCATTTTCCTCAAGCATGTTTTCTGAAAAGCTTGTACAACCCGGACTAAATCTGGTTCCTGAACCGTCATCAACAAACGAACATGACTCCGTAAGCCATAAAAATTCCTCTGTTCCTAACAAAAGTTTATTAAATTCCCGTCCGAGTACTATACTGGATGCTGAATCCGATATCAACTTAGACAGAATGTTGATTCGGAGTGAAAGAATGGTTTTAACGCCAACTCCAGTGGCAACAGACGATCCAGGCAGTTCTGAGGGGGAGTACGAAAATGAAAGTCGAGAATCAACTTTGCATCAAACTAATCCTTCAGTTCGTCATACCACCACAAGGAATATGACCAATCAGTCTGGTTTGGCTAATGTTCCGTCTAACCGAACTTTGGAACTTGTCGAATCTGAGTCACAGGGAAGTATTTATTCCGACCCAGTTAAGGTTTCCGTTTTCGATACAATATCTCAGTCTACAGAGTGCAGTTCTACTAGGTCTGGGAGCTTGTCAGCACTAAACTCTACTTTAACCAAACCCAGTGGATTTGTGGAGTCATCAACGCCGAATTGTTTCGTTGCACTAGTTAATTGTAGTCCTCCACTTCAAATTCTCTCCAGTCAGAAAATGCATAAAACTGTTAGTTGTCATCGAACTACTACTTGTTTTTCCGAATCTTCAGTTTTACCAAATATGGAGAATATTGAGTATCATGATTCTTCGGGTAGTAATGGGATGATTGTAACGTGTGGTTCTCATTGCTCTCACAGGAGCACAGATGGAAGCCCCTATAAAAAGGAAGCTGAATCAATAAAACAAAATCCCTGTAATTTCGAGAAACAACCTCATGACTTTCATCCAACAATAAACGTGAACGACTTTTCAAGAGAAGCTCAACATAAGATTCTACTGAGGTCAGAGTCACTGTCATCTTCAGTTTCACTCAGTAATAACAATTTTCTCCATGATAAATTTCAGCTGACACAAAAGTCTGATGATATCTCTTCATTTCCTCCTGGTAAGTTGAACGTCACCATTTTTGTTTTATGTAGTTGCTATGTAGAACGCTTCAAGGCATCGAGTCACCGGTTTTAGTTTTGCATAATATTGTGGATCTATTCCTCAATTGCCTTGACATATATATATATATATATATATATATATATATTATTCAACTAACCATTAATTCTAAGTTGCTGAATCAGTTACGAATATAGTCCCCAAACGCTCTGGTACGACTGTGTGAGGAGAGTTCGCTCTTTGGGTCACGCGTATTTAGCCACTACCAGGGAAGCCCTACCCACTGTCGTGTGGCAGGAGTGTTTATGAAGTTAAGAGGACAAAAAGCGAATGCCCAGCGCTTAAACCGGGTTAGTGACTACAGCGGACCCACCCTGGGAAGTTGAAAAACCTTAATTCCGAACCGATGTGCACATGAGCTCCTAGATCCTGAGAGAACAAAGAAAGTATAAACTTATTCTTGGTCAACGGCTATCATGGGACCGTGTCTCTCAACGTTGCTCCATTGCCTTGTGGGCTAGATCTTTGTGTTAGAGGCTCTGGGATTGGGTTCCTAAGAAAGCCACTTTTTTCGATTTATGCACCCGGGCAGTATCCCAGCCACTACACAAATTCAGTGGTTTGTGTGGCGCATACATTTTTGTTACCTCTTTGTACCAACGTTTGTGTCCGAATAAATAAGATGGATTCATGTGCTTAACTCTAGTTCACCCGTTTTGTGACCTAAGGTAGCTTAGTTCAGAACCTTGAGCAAAAAATACGCTTCATGGATTGAGATAACATGTATTCTTTTGTTTCCGGTTAGTCAAACAGTTGCCTGAAAAGCTATTTCCTTTTCTCAGAATACGAATCTCCATGTTTGTGAGTTAATTTGTACCTTTTGGTTTGACCTTAAAATGATACTGTTTTCTTGTCACATCAAACTGTTACAATTCCTCTTATTACGACCCAACTATTCCTATTGCTTAGTATTCTTGGACACCGATTCACTTGACAAGTCCATAAATCAGATCATGGTTGAATAGGAACGAAATCATATTCCAAATAAGAAGGATAGATTGAAGTAAGAAACACAATAAGAATAATGTTAGTATATTTATAGTTTTTACATGAGAAGATTTTCAAGTCTAGTATCGTCCGGCGCTGACTGAATAAGAAATAGCCAATCAAAGTTCACCAACACAAACATGCACGGGGTGCTTTAATCCAATCTATGCCTCTAACACAGACTACACATTAGCCAATAAATACACGGAACTTTTTCAGTACTGTAGACATTCGCTTATCATACTTAAATCAGTTTGTTGAAATATTCACTTGAATCGATTTGGGCAACGAAGTAGAATGTTTTTCCATTTAGATCTGTTCAGCATCCCTGTACAGAGGTGGCTAGCTACATGTTATTTCTAAGTCATATCCATCCATACATAGTGATTGTAGATCATCATTTTATTCCACTCAAAACCCTGTTTTGTATATTTAGCTGACTCATTTTTGTTATTTTATATGGAACCATCTGGGAAATCAATACTTCACTAAATAATGGCTTTATTTTTTTTTCAGACCATATTTTTATCATCACTATTCCAAATTCTTCCGAGGTATCACCTACTTTTGTTAAGAAATGCAGAGATTCTGGAAGTGGCTTCGATACTCCCATGTCTCATAATGTAAATAATATCCCGAGTCCGGAAGTCGGTCACAGCTATCCACTTCGATCCCGCCTACGACAGGCATCTTTGCGATTGCAGTGGCAAGCCATGCAAGTAGCTCCAAAGTCATTTGGGCAGTTACCTACAGAAGTTGTGTTTCGCATTATCCAGTATTTGAGCGTACAAGATGTATTTCGCCTTCAGCGTGTTAACCATCGGTTCAAATCTATTATTGAGCAGTATCTTCTATTAGTTAAACGTATTAATTTTAGTAATGGCCTCCCGTTTGCATTCTTGCCAGATTCAATCACTGACGTAGCTCTGAAACGCATGCTAAGCCGTACGCCAGAAGTCACACATATTCTTGGCTTCTATCCTCGTAAAATAGCAGAATCTTATCCATCCGACGGACAATACTCGAACATAGGTTCTGGTCATAATGCATTAACCTACGGTGGGATCATCACAGCCTTTCGACTTTGTCCGAAACTCCGTTCAGTTGAATTGATGGATGTCGAGTTGATGAGTGAGTTAGTTCGACATCTCCCGCGCATCAAATTTCACGGCATGTTTCGAAACCGTCCAGATTCTTGGGATTGTGAATACGCAGTTCCTCTGCCACCCGAACCGAATGCTGAAAGTATTCCAATGGATAGTGACCATGACTCTATGACAAGCGTTCCAAATTCACGTGACGAGTTCCATGTCGACTCAAAATCCAAACCTCTTTTTGGCAGTTTTATTAGCACGTTATTTTGTTCCGCAACTGCTGTTTTAGCGGTGGGAAGTAGTCGTGGTAAGCGAAGAAATTTAACTCGTTTAAAATCTAAAAACCAAACAGGATGTGCATGTTCCGTGCAATCACTCCAATCTCTAAATGCGGCATTTTCATTACCGTTATGTAAGAATGAAAACAGTCAGCCACTTACACAGATGGCCGCACAATCAGTCCATAATGTTGCTTTGCGTCATACGAATTTCGCAAATTGGTTTGAACCTATCGGTGAGTTGCCTCTTGGCCAAGGTTCACCTTCCACAGTGCCTCACTTTCTTCCATCTCGGCTGTTCACTGCATTTAATGGTGGTCCTAGTTTCCCTCCCGCCCACGAGAATATCCCGAATAATTCTGCCCCACCTATGGAGCAGGACTGTTACTCCAACGCCATAGAATCTTTACGCAATATAGCTGTTTCACATTTCCTGCAGCCTGGTTTACCACCTATTGAAGCTGAGCTAATTGCTGTGGCTCCCTTTGGCTATTCTCGATGTTCTTTACATGGTGTAGGATCTGGTCGAAACAGCATTCGTAATGCTCATGGTCCAGTCTTAGCATTTGCCTTCGGGGCTATATTCGTCCCACCACAAGCAGTTTCGCCGTTCATTTTGCCATCCAATAACGCGTCAAACTGCCGCTTTATCGATGCAAGACAGTATAATGCCGTCATATTGGGAGCTAACTTACTGCGCGGAGCACAAGGACCTCATCTTGCCTTTGAGCGTATATTAAACTTCCCGCAAAATGTTAATCAAAATAATGCTCCACGTCAAGTGCAGCTGCACGATCAAGTAGGAGGGCGAAACCAACAGAGACAACACCCTCAACGTTTTCGTCGACCACGTACAAGCATAACAAGCTTGAATGCCTCTGGACCATGGTTGGTCTCCCCATTTCCCAGTCAACTACAATGGATTATTTTACCCCACGCTATTACAAATCTAACCAAACTAGATCTAGTTTCTGTCGCAATTAGCGCTATTCCACGACTAGACAATATTAAATATCTACATCTTAAATGGGTAAGCATAAATTAATTTTTTTTGGAAATATGTCGTTTTAAATGTGATAATTAGTCTTAAAAAAAATACTTTCTACAATTTACTTATCTCTGTCATTTGGAGAATTAATAACATTACAATCATGTGACTACTATTAGTTACATATCAGATGTCTTTCACTTTGCTAAAGTTCCAAACATTTTTGGCCAATATTTTAACTTAATGTTTTCAAACTCCTGGGCACCACCTACACTGAAACTCAAAGAACATCTACACGTTCATGCGGTTGGTATTTCGAGTATAGTTTTAACCTTTAACTCATTGGCTAAAAATTAAATTCTTATATCGATAAACCCGCAGATCCTGTATGTTAGATTATGAGATAAAGATATCAGGGACACAGATTTACAAACTGACTTAGTTTCAGATTTATCTAGTTTAAATAGTCGAAATGGAATTTCAGAGTATACAAAGTCCACTTTCGAAAATTGGAAGAAATTATTACATGAGATCCAATCGCTATGTCACACTTTAATGTGTTAGTAATTTTCGATGTAAATTTTGAAGTAGTCTAATTATTTGAGTACCAAGTAATTCTAAAATTCATCATTTTATCATTTATCAAATCTAGACGATTTACAGCTCATCTACAACTTTATTGATCCTTAAAAAGGTTGATATAACTGTGTAGTATCTCTGGTAGCTCTCAAACCCTGATTATGGTTAACTATCAAGTTGTATATATATATATATATTAAGAAGCAACTATTTGTTAAATCACAAATCTCAATAAATAACTTATTATCCAATGATGATCCCAGTAAAATAATTTTGAATATGACGTAATGTGCAGATATCTATTACTACAGTATTTTACTAAACACGAACAATTTCTAGCCTGACTGATTCTAAAGATTCCTTAGCTGATACATTTGATACCACCTGAATATTTTTGAATGTCACGCGCTTCTCTGTTACTTAATTGGTTGGTTTTCTGACTTTAGTAATAAACTGTCTTCATTATGCGCGTTCACTTACTACTGATTGCAAAGGAACATTAATCACCTTAAGATGCTATCAATTTAGATTACTTCAATACATTGATTAGTAAATTATTGAATACATCTGAATATGACTTTAGTTTTAATCTCTAAATAAATGTTTATTGACTAATGGTTGTTTAGATCACATAAACATTTAGCATAGTTTGCTAACTTATAGGCAAGAATTAGGATAGCTAGTGCAAACACGTTTTTAAAGATATAAGCATCTTTTTTATACAACGCGTTTCAATGGACGTTTCCTCTTACAATAAATTGTCAAAGTATTCAGTTTGCAAAATATTACACATTTCAACTTGAAATTTTGAAATTCACTTCCTATTATCTTACTCATATAAATTTCAATTTGGAGTGTAGTTAGATCTTAAAAATAATCTTGTTTCTTTTTAACTACAATATATTGATCAATTCCTAACATAGCTATTTCATGTGTTAGTATCTGCGAATTTGACGTAATATTCCTTACATTTAATTTAGGTTGTATTTGCTTCAGCTGACCCATTCTTCAGTTTTTTGGCACCGAAATTACAATCATTTGTCATGAACAACTGTAGTACACCATCAAGAGTTGTTCGATTTGTTCGTATTTTCTCGGCTCTTTCACGGGCTCCTCAGCTTACGCGGCTTGAGTTAGTTGGTACACGCTTCATTGGTATGTCATCTGTATGTATATTATTTATTTTTTTTCGTCTACACTATATTACCGAATTGGGTAAAAAATGTTCGAGTTCGTTTGTCTTTACCTAAGCTCAATTGCATTCCAGCCTATATACGTTTGGTCTAAGTATTTTCCTCCCCATATATGAAATACTTTACCGATTGCTTTCCAACCTATGATTTTAGTGAGTAATTCACATGGCTTTCATTAGCATAGTGCTCATTTTCGGGAGAATTCGTGCAAGCCGTTGGTTAGATACTAATGTTTAACTAATAGATTACATCTATGTTCCTTAAAAGTTGTAACTGGTTGATTTGTAACACCATCTTTTCTTAGATTAGTTTATGAGGTGTTAAATCAATTTAACCGTTGGCTTATTAGTTATTATATATATATATATATATATATATATATATATATATATATACATCTGTTAATAATTTTATCATAACTCTACTGCTTTTCTAGATGGTCTAATTGGACACATAATTGATGATAATATGTCACATGGGCGCGGATTTCGTAATCTTCAGCGTTTGGTGCTTTCTAGCAACAAAGATGCATCTGAAGTAGATATTGGATTGCTTCTGCTGGCTGGTCAACAGTCTTTGAATCAAGTAGCTCTCCAAATGCTTCATACACGAAATTCATTATTTGAAGGTCTTTATCATGCCGGTGCTGAATTTCCACGTCTTGAGAGTCTTACTCTTGGTAAGTAGATTATTGTCGTACTTTCCCAGTATACACACGTGTCTTGTAGAGACTTATTTGAGACATTATGTGTTTCGAAATATTCTTATGAGTATTTTATTTATTTATTTGAACACATAAATATTTGTACAACGGGGTACCAGATATATATGCTCCACACAAATCTCATTTGATTTGTATGAGGACTATGATACTGCCCGGGTGCCCAAACTGAAGCAAGTGGTTTTCTTAGGGGGCCACACCCACAGCCTTTGACCCAATGGTCTAGTCCACAAGGCAGTGGAGCATCATGAGGAGATGCAGTCCCATGGTAGCCGGTGACCAACAATTGATTCATACGCTAGTTGTTCCCTCAGGATGCTGGAGCCCATGTGCACCATTGATTTGGAATCAGGGTTTTCCAACTCCCCTAGGTGGACTTTCTGTGAGACATTATCATGTCTCAGAATTGTTCACAATAAGGCAAATGAATTTAATTTTTGTCCTGAAACCTCCCACTGTCTTTTTTCTCTCTATGCCCAATTTTTACTTCTACTAATACTGCTATTACTTTTATTACTCTGGCATTTGTATTGATAATTTCATCTCCCTGTACTGTTTATCTAAATGGCGTATTATCCTGTTATATTAATAGTGTAGGGACTTAAACCGATACACATGTAGCAGGTTCTTCGTTGCATATGACTGACTAACTGATTGTCTATTTTATCTGAATTGGTGAGGCAAATGTAGTTTCCATCATCCTGCAATATATCCATTATTTAGTATTCTCTTTTTACGGTGGTTTGACATTATCAAGCAAACTTGATCAGATGTGGTTTGTATGTTATTCCTTAATACTTAACTAAATTGTATTTGTTTAAATTAATCTGTTTAACGTTTACCTTTCAAGGGATAGGTATGACATCTTCCATTTTCTAAAATGTACATGACATTATAGTAATACCACCTTCTTAGCGTATCGTTTTTTTTGAATTTGCATATTAATTGTGTTTGTCTTACAATGTTCACAACTGGATGTTATAGTGTTTATTCCGCCAATAATAATGATTTATGTTTCATGCATTTTATGCTTTACATCATTAACAATGTTACAAATCCTCAGTCAAAATAATTTGTGAATCATGTCTTTTTCTATGTCCTATATTTTTTGGCATACCCTCTGTAATCATTTGCATCACTGTAATAAAGATGATGTCTACGTTCAATCTGTTTTAAATTCCTAGGTTATTTAGATCCTTACCAGTCACGTTTAACAGTTTCTGAACTGATGAGTTTAGGTATTGGGGAATCATCTGATCATTTGTCACCTATTTGTATGATAACCGATTGGGGTATGGCGCTTGCATTTTTCATCTGTCCTCGACTTGTAAATATTATCATTCGAAATGCACCATATTTAAATGATATAACACGATGGTTTTCTGCTGGATTTTGTGATGAAGAATCACTCCACATTCGACCGACAATTATACCTTCAGCTAGCGAGGATTCTACTCAACCAACTGCCGACTGTCAAGAAAATTCCACACAAACTTGTGTAACAGACAAAATTTCAAAAACCTATTTCTTACCTCTACGATCACTAACGTTGGAAAACTGTTCTGGAATATCAATTGAAGTAAGTCTCAAGAACTCGATAATTACCACCGAAAATCTGATGTTGACAGGCAAAAGAATTTTATAGACATACTAATGCAGTTTACCTCATAGTTTGTTCACGATTCTGCATTTCAGTTTCGTAGAGCCTTCTGTAAATGACATTTTATCTAACTTGACTACATCCTCTATTTTTGCTCCGTCCCACTATTGACAACTGAAAAGGAGTGACTAAAATTTAGTTCCAATAAAACACTTTCAGTTGAGAGGAGTGACAATAATGTAATTTCCATAAAAACTGAAGAACTTAAAGAACAAGTCAAATGTATCACTACTTTATTAATGTTAGTGCAGAAGGACTTCAAGTTTCGTTAGGGACATGGTACAATACCGGAAATTAGGCCTGGTAACCAGGTCTTAATTGGAGAATAAAGTGACCTACTAGCGAATTTCCTCTAATCACTTATGAGAGTTTATTATGCTTACTTTTGGCTCATATTCTATATAAGGACATGCTTTACAACATAAGAGCCTATTCTCTTGGCGTGTTCATCTTGTGTGTTTAATTTCAAATCATTCGGGGGGTTAAGTCAATAATGCAGTCTAGTCAGTAACCGTCACTCAGCCACATCATGTCGTTGTGTCTACTTATCGATTAGCACTCTGTTCATTGATTTTAATAATCGGAATTTTCATCTCAATCAAGATCTCCATTTTGCAAATATGGGTCAGTTATTTTGATGTTGGTTTGTTCTCTGAGCTGGATCCAGAGAACAAACCAACATCAAAATCACCCGCCTGAGCTACAAATCTTCACCATGGGTCAGTTATCTCTCCTTTGCTAGCCTATTAAATTTAAGTGCATACATTAGTCCTTGATACCTGATATTATCAGTATACGTTATGTCTTATTTATTATTATTCTGACTTTTGACTTTATTTCCCCTTACATGCTGGGTGGCTGGATCTATTGGGACTCAATCAATATGTTGCATGTTCGCAAGCCTCTTTACCGACTTCGAAATAGACTGCATGGTAATATCATTAGCTTTCGCACAAAGTCAGGTTCTGCGTTTTCTACAATCGTCTGATTAATAGATTATATATACTGACAAGTTGTACAGAAGAAATAGGGATTTTTAATGACTGCAAAGGTTCTCTTACGATATACCAGCTTTTCTTTTCTATTGTAACTGTGCACGAAGGATGGTTAACCTCTTTCCTGTAATCGCTAGTTTACAATAGGCTTATATAAGTCAGAATTTTTCATCTGATCTCTGCCTCATTTAGGTTGAAAATATTTGTTTCTCTCTAGGCTTATTAGTGATCCAAATAAATGAATTTTGACATAACAACTACAGAGTCCTTTACCTTTCCCTTTCTTTTGTTTAATTATGCTTAAATGAAACATTGGCTATATTAGTTTGGTCAAATTAAGTGGTATCATTCCATAAAAATCCTACTAACGATTACTAGAATACACTTGCATTTTTGTCAGTTGATACAGTTAGAAAAATCTCGTAAACATGCATAAACATGCATACATATTTTCTTTCGAGATTTGTATAGTATGTCGAGATTTTTGTGATTATCTGTTTAGTGTTTTCAAATTTGATTTTTTATTGATTACTCTTTCACACAATAATTCCCCTCATTAAGATGCTGCTTATTATTCTTTTGTAGAATCTTGAACGTGTTTTGATTAGTGGACATCCTTTCCCATGTTTAGAAACTGTCGTCTTAAGAAATATGTTTACACCTCAATACGGTGAGAACAAAGGCTTCATGAGTACACCGCATCTTTTTGTTGATCAACATGATCAATCTGTTACTGAACAATGTATAGATTGGCGTAAACTTGTTCACCTTTTATGTTTATCAGATTTACTAAGTACTTGTCGACTGGGCTATTCTCCTTTATCACCTGAAGACTGTATTGGCTTAGGTGCATCCGCTAGAGAAGTAATTCATATGAATCCACCACGTGGTTTTCTACCAGATTCTTTACGAACAAAACCACATGATTTATTTGTAAGTGATAGTATTTGTATTTTATAGCTTTGTTATATTTCATTGTATTCTATTTAAATGTTTTAGATCATACATCTGGCTGAATATTACTATTCGAGGAAGTAAACAGATCGAATAGCTGACTTCACATTTTACGTTTAAAAATACATTGACTCCATTTATCTTTTCTGCTTAAGTTAGCAATTAAGAACAGAAAATCCATCAAAATAGATATTAAAACTGGTACTAAACGTATGATATTCAGATAAGATAGTCATTGTTGGAGATGCAGATACCAAGAAGTCACTCCGTAAACGTCTTATTTTTTGTAATTTTATTTTGGAAATTTGAATTTTTTGTTTTCTCAGCACAAGCGCCCTTTTTCCCCTCATATTGTATTTCCTATTTGGAAGGACCCTAGATGCCATTGGTTCGTTGCCTCTTAATACTCTATTTCGTGACGTTTTCCAAAGACTTTTTGTTCTGTATACGTATGCTTAAGTTGTGTGCTTGATTGTTCATGCTTCTGGCTGCCTGTGGAATATACCTTTCCCTCATCTGGACCTGGTCTTCTCCCTCTAGTTAGGGCTGGGACGCATCGGAGTAGTTTAACTTATTGTTGCGTCTCTGATCCTTCGTTCCGTTCTCAGATTTTAGATGATCTCGTAATCTCTCCAAACATATCATTCGTCTTTTGAAAGGCTATTGTAATTGCATTTAAATCTGGAACCACTAGTTTTCAACATATCGACAATTCCGACAAGGAATTCGACAGTGCTCAATGTTACCATTAAATCCCTTTATCGATCTACGTTATAATCTCAAGACTTTTGCCAACCTGTTCCTATATCAGTCATAAATTAACATTTGATTAGGTTTACAGTTTTTGTTCTGTCAACTTTAATTAGTGTACATATTCATTCATTCTTATGTTATTCACTTCAATGACTGACTGGTTGATTTTAATGAACTTGTCACTTCCGTGTATAGAATCGCTGTCTACTAGGTTTATATGTATTTCAATTTGGTTTAATTTTCCGGATTATTTTCCCTATTTCCGGTTAGTATAAGTGAGAAAAAATAACGGACTGTTTAAAAAGAATTACGTACACCACCAACTTATGATAGTTTATTTAACTTGATTTTCAATTATTGTTTATGAATTTTTAGTCCATTTCTTTCACTTTCCGAGTTTCGGACTTTTTTTATAATCTGTTATCGTGTTGTGTTTTTTACTGAGAAGATATCACTAATATTATAGTAGATCTAATATGATTAATGCGATCAAGCAACTAATATATAACGACGAAGTGAAGAATGCAAAAATTGGAATTTGTAAAAGTTCTGACTTTTCGAAAAGACAAATGTAATGAGTAAACACCACTGTTTAGAAATCTGAATTGACATCATTAAAAGAGACAAATACGAGCAACAAATAGTATAAATACATCTGACTACATATGATGTTTACGATTAATGTCTCTGTGTTAATTGACACAAAAGTGTAAATTAAAAAAATTAACAATTCAAGTTTTTTTTATAGGAAAACTCAGACACATAAAACTTCTACAATAAAAAAATTGAGTACTTAGGTGAAATATGGGGCGTTTTCTAGCTTTGTACTGATTTTAATTGCCTGTGTTTATTTATTTCGGTTATTTGTTTGCTTACTCTTTGATGAGAGGCTTACACTAACTAAGAAATTCAATTTTTAACTCATTGGAATACTATAGATATATCATTATTACTACTACTAGCAATCTTCTCAATGTCCAATTTACTTGAAATTATTAAGTTGAACCTTGCTAATGATACTTCTCTATTCTGAATCACATCAAAGAAATAGTTGACGTATTCATATTGTCGTTAAAAGAATGACTAATGCCAGTTTTAATATGTTATGTGTGATAAAGTTGATTCTGATTGAATATTTTGCACTTTTTTCGTAGAAATCATAGTTTTGACCATAATAGTTGTTTTTTTTCGAATTTGTCACAGTGTTCACTTCGAGCTCATACCTACTTAAATAGTCTGTTGGAATTAGACGGTTCCTGTGGTCGGTCAATGTCAGCACCAACCAGAGTGTTTAAAACGCTGTTTTCACACAACGTGCATATCCCCGTGTCAGATGGTCCCGAACGATATCCCAGTAAACCGGATGACGATAATGATTTTATGTCTCGTTCTACGCAAACATGCATTTGCGGTGTATTAGAATGGGATGTTACTCTAAGGATGTCGCAGTCACAATTGGCTACTGATCAAAAAATTGTGAGAAGTAAACTTATTTCTCCTGACAACTCAAAAAGCAATCAAAATTGCCTCCATGTACGTATTGACACCGAAACTAATCGAAATACTGTCCCAAGTACCAGTTCACAATCCGGAAAGACATTACTGTTACGTTCACCAGTAAATCAAAATAATGCTTTTACTCCGATAACGTCTCAGTTGCAACTTGGTGGTTCTTTATCATTTCATCCTTTTCCTCCTTCGGTTCAGCATAAAAATTTCTATAGGATGATTACTATGTCAGAATGGAATCAGTTGATTGTCAAAATGTCTACACCATTTGGTCTTCCGTGTTGTCAGATTATTTACCCTGTGACTGGTTCAAATGAGTGCTCAGGGTGTGCTTCTGATTCACTGCTTTTTTCTCAGGGTATTTCAAACTATCAAGTAAGATTTGTAACGAGATTTATGCTTATATCTTTATTTTGTCACTTGCTAATGCTGTCTATCAGAAAGTTAGGCTTTTTTATTTGTCTTAAATCAAAGGTGGATTGAATGATGTTTGAATCTACAACTTGTTGTTTGAAAGTCAAGTGCTATAATGACCACCACTGAGGCACCACCGTTTATACCTGTTTTAATGTTTAATTACATTGTTTACTCACCACTGTAATCGTTATTGTCAATAATCTTTCCTAATCATTTAGCCCTATTATGGGTGGTGTAGCAGTAGTGGTCGTCAGTCAGTCACAGCGTGATTTGTTTTCGCATTACGTAATTAAAGATTTGAGATTTCAAGAGGGAATTGGCTTCATAAACACAAGAGTTGAAAGAATCAGTTATATATTTGTAATCAAGCTTTTCAAACAGGTGTCGTAGTGACTACTCATATACAAACATTTACAAATATTCTGTTTTATCACTAATGTTTTATACGAAACATCGGGTAATATGTTTACTTGGTGTTATTCTATCGAACAACATATATCGATAAAGTCAGTTGCGTTTAGCTTATTGTTTACATTGTTTGTTCGCTATCCCATGACCATCGACGTGTGAAATAAGAGTTACGTAAGAGTTATTCGAGTAGTGGGTTTATTGTTAAGACTCTCGAATTCCGGTCACTAAGTTGAAGGTTTGAACAATAGTCCATGTAACTCGGTTTAGACACCACTCAAACTCCCGACCGTTGCTGCTACCTTTACGTGGTGGTCGGGTTTGCCTATCGTGATGAACCAATCAAACTATACTGGCTGGAACAATCGTTCCTCAAGGTCCTACCATGCCAGACAGGTCGGTTGAAGAGCAGTAAGACTAAAAGCAGCAAACCCAAGGTCCGACGGCGAAGTCGTACTGTCGACTGTACAGAGGTGTGACGGCAGTAAGGTGTTTCCTTCAGACAACCAGCATGACAGCGATGCTGCCTTCCCACAAATAAGGGTGGGGTTAGAAATGGTCGACCCTAAAAATGCACACCTCGCCTTATTCCACGGATATCCGTCTCCAGCGGTAAGGTCCCAACAAGTACGGAGCTAACACAAAAATTACCCACAGAAAGGTCGTGCGTGACCGGTCTCAAGAAGTTGTCCCTTGGGCATTGCAGTCAGGCTCTCAGGTCATTAAGACCACTTCTAATCCAATTTTCTCTTCAGGTACCTCTAGAAGAAACCGGGAAATGAAAACTACCCTCATACCTCTAACAGCACTCAAGATCACTGTATTCATAATCAATCTCCTTCTTTAATTCCTACTATTCCTTCTACCTTGACTTTCAGCACTAAACTTCCTGTTCCGGTTTCCTCCTCAAGTGTCACCATGGCCAACGATTCTAGTGCGCGAAACACTGTCCCAGGTCTACTTAAACCTCTCTCCAAACTGCACATTGTAACCTTCAACGTACGTACTCTATGTCAAATCGGTCAACAGGCCTCCTTGGCTAAGACCCTTGAATCTCGTACGATTGATGTATTCTGTGTTCCTGAAACACGCATACAGGATCCTAGTGTGGCATTCACTTGACCTCACCTCGCCAAAATAGACAACCGACGGAATACACCCTCCATGTTGCTGGCGACTTGATGGCTAGTTCTCGTGGACTTGCAGGTGTAGGCATAACACTTGATACGAGGGCAGAACAGGCACTATTAGAATGGATCCCCGTTAACAGTCGCCTGTGTGCTGTCCGGCTAAATGGCCCCATAAGAACTCAGAAGGATAGGGACACACGTCGTTGCCTTTTCGTCGTTTCCGCCTACGCTCCCACCGACTGCAGCCATGATGAAGTGAAAGATGACTTTTACAGAAAGCTCTCTGAGCTTCTTCAGAAAGCTAAGCGCTCAGACATGGCACTCATAGCGGGTGACTTTAATGCCCAGGTAGGCAGCTTGAATCAAACAGAAAGACATTTAGGTGGGTGTTTTAGTATTCCGGCTCAACGAACCGATAATGGTGATCGTCTGTTGCAACTATGCTCAGACAATCGTTTATTTTTAGCAAGCACTAATTTCAAACATAAGGAGAGACATCGTCTAACATGGCGACCACCTGCTACAAACCAACGATGGACTCAAATTGATCACATTGCCATCGGTCATCGTTGGAGAGGCTCAATAGAAAATTGCCGCTCGTACTGGAATACATGTTCAGACTCTGATCACCTTTTAATACGAGCACGCATCTTTTTGCTCCTCACTGGACGCAGGAAAAGTACACTAAGAAGACCCATTAGGATTGAATTGGAGGACGAGAAAGTCAAAAGTATGTTCCGCTTTACTGGTTTGTGCTCTCGGTCCGTCCACCTTCTAGGTAATAAGGACGTTTTACCATCCTTCGTTTGCACAGTGACTGTCCTGTCTGTTTCAGGTGTTTTGATCTTAAATGTGTCTAGCAGAACATTAAGAGGTAATCTATGCTGCGTTTCGTTGTTGGCGATCGGGGTCGGTTTCAGTTGGTTAGCATGACGTACCCAGACTTCTGAACCAACGGACACCTCGTAAGCCACATTTTCTTTCTTTTGCACGATCCGGCCAGCTATCCATGTAGGATGTTTTCCTCGATAGTCCATAGCAAGTATCTTTTAACCCACGCTGAACAATCGTTTTTGTGCCACACGATGACGATTGTACTGTTTCTCCATCATCACGTTTCGTTGCGGCTTAAGAGCTGGAGTCGGATGAATGTTGTCGAAATGTGTACGTATTTTTCTGCCCAGTAACGCACCCGCTGGAGAGACCTCATTTGTTGTCTGAGGGTTCTGTGTAGGACGGTAGGTAAACAGGAACCTCTCTAAGATCTCGTCGGCGGTACCCTCCCCTCTTGATTTTTTAGGGCATTTTTGAACGTACCAACAAAACGTTCTACCTGGCCATTCGATTACGGATGGAATGGAGATGTTCGGATATAGTTGATTCCGTTCTGCTGACAAAATTCTGAAAAGGTAGATGACGTAAACTGTGCGCTGTTGTCGCTGACTATTTGTTCTGGAACCCCGAAACGACTGAATAATTGCCGCAGTTTTCTAACTGTGTAGCTTGCTGTTGTATGTTCCATGATGAAAATTTCCGACCACTTGTATGCATCAACTACCAGAAGGTAAGTTTGTCCATGGAATGGAGCAGCGAAGTCTAAATATGTACGCTGCCACAGTGACTGTGGTATCGGCCATGATTGCAGCTCTGCTTTTCGTGGTGCCTTTGCTGCCAATGCACATTTTATACACGAACGGGATAGCTGCTCGAGTTGAGTATCTAATTGTGGCCAGTAAAAATAACTTCGTGCTAGCGCTTTCATGCGGTTTATTCCAGGATGTCCTTCACGCAGCTGCTTGGACTGCCGGTTGCAACTTCTTTAGGATTAGGACACGTTCAGCAAACATGAGGCATTTGTCGATGATTGAAAGAGATAGTCTGCGCTGATGAAACTGCTGAAGCTCTGTTGAACTGATCTTCGAGGGCCACCCTCCTAGGTGGAACTTTTTGACTTCTTGTAGAACAGGGTCTCGAAGAGTCTCTTTTCTAACTTCATCTGACGACAGTGGAGTGTTTCAAATTACCGCTGCTACTACATTCCGTATTTCTGGATCAACTGATATGGAGGCAATGATCATGTCCTCCGGTCCAGGATGTTGAACTCCAATAAGTCGTGAGAAAGCATCGGCTTGACCGGTAGTATTGGTTGACTGATACCTTATGTTAAAGTCGTAGCTCAGAAGCATTGTTGCCCAGCGCTGTAGTCTGTTAGCTGTGTAAACAAGAATCCCTTTCTTGGAACCGAATATTACAATCAGTGGTTTGTGTTCTGTCAACAGAGTGAAATTACGGCTGTAAAGCATTTTATGAAATCTTTTGACAGCATAAATGATTGCCAGGGCTTCGTTTTCGATTTGATTGTAGTTGCGTTCGGCTGGGGTAAGTGATCTGGCAGCATGGGCAATTGTCTTTTCTGTTTTGTCTGGAAACATATGTGATATAACTGCTCCAACTCCTTGACTAGATGCATCAGATGCAACAACAATTTGCAAGCTGGGATCGAAGTGTGTCAAGAGAAGCTTTGAGCTGAGCATTAACTTGACTTTGTCGAAAGATGCTGCCCATTGCCAAGGTTTATCTTTCGATAGTAATTCGTTCAGAGGGCTTCTCACTCGATGCATTTCAGGCAAGAATGTGCTATAGTGACTAACTAATCCCAAGAATGACCTTAATAAACGGACGTCAGTTGGTACGGGCATTTTATGAATGGCTTCTATATTGGCAGGGTCTGGTCGTCGGCCGTTCTTATCTAGGATGAAACCAAGGTATTTGATCGAATGCATGAAGAAGATACACTTTTCTTCACGTAGTTGGAAACCATACTCCAACACTCGGTTAAGCACTTGATGTAGACGATCAGAAAGTTCACTGTTAGTGGAACCCATAACTATGATATCATCTAGATAAGCTGCTGTACCCGGTATGCCAGTTAGCATTGTATCCATTATTTGCTGAAAGATGGCAGGTGCGGTCTTGATACCGAATGGTAGGCGGGTGTATTGAAATAACCCTCCATGAATGTTGATAGTCAGAAGCTCTCTACTATCGTCATCTACGTCCACTTGCAGATAGGCATCCGAAAAGTCTATTTTCGCGAAACATACCACCATTTAGTTTAGCAAACAGGTCTTCAGGAACTGGTAACGGATATTGATATTCATCCGATGCAGCATTTAAACCCGTTGAGAAATCAGCACATATGCGGATAGTTCCATTGGACTTTCTAATCACTGCAATCGGCGCGGCCCATGCAGAGTAATTAACTGGTTGGATTACACCAGCGTGCTGCAAACGATTAAGTTCCTGATCGACTGGTTCAAGAGCAGCATATAGCCCAGGATGTCTCGGACGAAAAATGGGTTTGGCATCTGGTTTCAGGGATAAATGAGCTTTCACTTTAGTGCAGTGACCAAGGCTATTCTGGAAAGCAGAAGCGAATTTTTTCGTCAGATTTTCTAGTACCTTTTCACCTATCTTTTTTGCATGTTGATGGGTATATCCATTATTCCAAGTTTTTCTAATATATATAGACCAAGAAGATCAATGTTTGGTCGTTCTGTCAGATAGCATACCCCTTTACAGCTATTTCCATTGAAGGAGAATTTACACTGTAATTCGCCAATTAGTTTCAGAACTCCTGATGCATTTTTAGCAGTTTTCTTTGATGGCTTTATTGGTGGTTTTCCAAGCAGGTTATACGTTTCTCTAGACACTAGGGTAATATCGGATGCTGTGTCGATTTGGAGACGAGCTGCTATGCCATTAATCTGGATGGTAACATACTTTTTCCGAATGTCATAGTCTGTTTGGAAGGCTGCTACCAGAAAAAGTGATTTAGATTCGGCTGACTTCACCACGTGTCGAGGACGTTTATGCTTCTGCTTAGGATTCAAAAAACTCGTTTGGCTTTTGCCAACTTACGTCACCTATGGCGAAGACGAGATGTCTGTCTATCAATTAGGGGACGAGTTTACTATGCAGCATTTCGCTCTGTTCTACTTTACGGCTGTGAAACATGGTCATTAAGAGTAGAAGATACTCATAAGTTACTAGTATTTGACCACAGATGTCTTAGAAATATTGCTCGCATCTGCTGGGATCTCCGGGTAAGTAATAGTGAGGTTAGATATATGGTATTAAGGAATGATGGTAAATCAGTTAATAAGGTCATGAATCTTCATCGACTGAGATGGTTGGGTCACGTGTTACGTATGCCTGAACACCGATTACCACGACGCACTATGATGACTAGTATTGGGGATGGTTGGAAGAGAGTTAGGGGCGGCCAAACCAAAACATGTCATCAGTGTTTGAAGTTAGTAATTGCTGGTCTGAGCCATGTTGGTAGATACAGACTACTTGGCCGGGGTCCGCGTGACCATCGTATCCAATGGTTGGAGACTTTGGGTGACATGGCTCAGAATCGATCACAATGGCGTAGGTGTATACACTCTTTATCTTCCCTTAAACCTTGAGATTAAAATTACTTCATATCTTTCTTTCTGTACTATATCCTTATATACAACCTTTCTTTTATATACTACCACCACCACCACTAAATTAACTACTTCTATGAATTCGCTGTTCATCTTGTTGTGCTGATGAGGTATGACAACTTGGACCGAAGCATATGTGTGCCTGCTCCTACGTTGTAGCTGACTGACTGACCCCTCAAACTCAGGGTGTGACTCAAAGATAAATCCACAAATCTGTATTTGGTCAATGAGTTAATAATAAGACTACATCAAAGCTAGCATCTGTTCGCGGTCCAAAACGAATTCCTGGGTATGTAGTCATAAAGATTATATAACTTGGAACGTTATCGCATATATTGGTCAGAATAAAAGCCAGTGAGAATCACGTGGTAGTTCTCCTTGTACATTCTTCACAAAAGTAAAGTTCACCTTTCAAGTGGGTAAAACCTACTTTGGCCGTTTTCCTTAAATCAGACTGTCTTGTTAACGAGTACTATTCATCTCCATTCATTCATTGTTTTATTCTACAACTAAGGAATAATTACTATATCTATTTACGGTTATCAAAGTATTATCTTATTTCCCAAACCTAAATTATTTGTTATTCTTTCTTTATATTTAGATATCTGCTCCTTGTAAATTAGTTAAACAGTCTAGTCACACTGCTACAAAATGGTTAGCTCGTGATGCATGTATAGATACCAGTGAATTAAGATGTTTTACATTGCCAAAACCACAAATCCTCAATGTTTTACAACCATTGAATGCTATTCATAGTTGTTTAACTTCAATACACTTTGAAAAAGTAAGTCAAATCACAATAAGTGTGTGTTTATAGCATAAATTATGTTGTTTCAATGCATGAAATGTTGTTTTCATCAATGTTATTTTGTTACAAAAATAAGTGTGGTCAGATAATATAAAGTATGGAATAGTATTTTGTTATAACGCTCGGCTTTTCTTCGTCTACACGAATGGGACGCTAATTTGCCTTAGACGAATATCTACTCTAGATTCCCTTCCAGTGTATATTCTACAGGGCTTCAACACAACTCAGATCCAGAATACGTGATTAGCCTGACTGAAACGTAAATATATTTGTTCACCAAAAACCGACACAATTTAACAACAATCAATAATAATATAAAAATAGGGGAATATATAACTCATTTAACGCCTGTCACACTATCTACAATTCTGACTAAGCAAACAACCAATCATTATCATTCTTGCCCACACATCAAGTTAATCATAACTATCATCAACGTAGAACCTGGAATAACTATTGATCCTCCCTAGTTTCCTTGTCAAATCAATGGGACATTGAGATAAAATTGACTAGATTTATATCAGGAAAAAAAGTTGGAGTAATAGTAGTAGCTATGTTTGTGACAAAGACTAAACGAGAGAATATATATTAGTGAAATAACAAACAATAGTAATGAAGCTTTGGATGTCAAAGGAGAGAAAGACTAAATATCTCTGTACCATTGTGACAGATTCTGAACCATTTAATCCTAGTAGGCTCAAATTCTCGGCAAAAATTTAGAATATATACTGTCGATTTTGGACCTTTTCATCTATAGTTTCCAATCGTAGAGTTATGGTGAAGTGGTTTATTGGTTGTGAGCCATTTTACTTTCAATCACTAAGTTACCGATTCGAATCCCTCTCCTTCCACTTCGATTTCGACAGCCATTTGTCACCAAACCAAGTACAAGATTAATAATGGAGTACGACTATCTCATAAATTGTAACAAGATGTTCTACACCTTCTGGTTTGGCTCATTTCAATGGTTGATGACCTTGTAGACTAATCTCATGTCTTGGTTTGACCACCTCCAGCCATTTTAATATCCATTCATCTTTAACTAACACCATGGATATGGGCTATTTCGGTCTATGACAACGCGTCATAGATGCAAAATACTGTGCAATCGATTGGCTTGGTCGATGCAAATTGTGTCAAAGTGACGATTGCATGGGAGATCGAACTGTTTGTTTCACCCCTCGAACAAATTGGCTAGAAAATAAAATTGCTTTGGCTCAGACAAAAACACCAATGATTTGAAATCATTCAATACATATTATATAACTACCATTTAGTTAGTTCTCGGGTATCAAACCACGTAATTACACGTTTGATCACCGTCCCATCGATTTGTTTATTGTTTATGTCGAAATTTATATAACTGACCTCAGGGTTATTCACTTGGTAACTGTACTATGCATAATTAAGTTATTGAAGATCTTTGTGATCAAATATTAGCCACCTACATATGTCTTACTCTTATGGGCCATGTTTCATAGACATAAAATAATTCTAAAAGGTGTCATGCAGAATATTTGCTCTTTGACGTATGTATAAACATCTCACACGTTCCACAGATGGGAAGAGTTGCCATAAGTCTAACAAAATCTGTCCCAAAACTGGGTCCACCGCCGATTTACTTGGGGTTTCTAGGTGAAGGAGATGGCCGACACGTTCGACAGCTTTACATATATTATAGTTGAGTTGTTTATACAATATTTAAAACAAGATTTCTTTTCCTCCTGTTTTTGTCTCTTCCATTGTGTTTTGAAAACATGCATTCTTCGTGTTCTTATCTAAATCTATTTTGCTTTAGTACATAGTAAACAGATATAGACATATTGTGTATATATGTATGTGTAAACAATAAGGTCCATTTATTTATATATTTCGTATCGTCAATTCTGTTATACACGTCTAACACGAAACGACCCGTTGTAGGTATATTTATGCTTAAATCATTCACTATGCTTTTCACACAAATACGGATGCAAGTAGATCAGACTCTTATTTACTACATCTGATTGTTATTGATTTAGTAATTATTTCCTTCATATATATATAATATTTGAATTAAAGGGTAGTTGTGCTTTTTTATATAATAGGAAAGTTGAATTTCTATACATTTCTATTTACTAAGACAATTCGTGGGAGGATCTGTACGGTTTTAAGACGCTTTTTCCCCCATCAAAAACTTTGACATCAGTTAAGGGATCATTTAAAAAGAAAATTCGACAAACAGATAAGTTTTTCGTACTAGTTTCAGACTCGTCAGATGTAACATTTAAATTCCATTCTTAGATGACATTTGCCTTGTGAAATTCATCTAGACAGTCTACATCTGTCTACATTATTTGAACAAATGGTCAGTGCCTTTACATATATATATATATATATATATGTATATATATATATATATATATATATATATATATATGTTAGCATAGTAGCAGTTTTCCAAGAAACCCTTGATATATGTTGATACTACTCACAGTACTCAACAGTAAAGCTTTCTTAACATGGTCCGAAATATTCGAACTCGAATAACTTATTTTCCCAAGTTGAGACCGGGGTATAACTAAGGTGCCCCCAAATGCCCTGGTACGGCCGAGAGTGGGGAGAGTCCGCTCTCCCTCTCGAAATGCTCTCACATGGCCACGCGAATATATAGTCCTACTCACTGCCTTCTCGTGGCGGGTGTGTTGTTTACAAAATTTATAGGACGATAAGCGAATGTCCGGCGCTTTAACCGTGTTGGTGCACACGGAAAGTTCACCTAGGGGAGTTGGAAAACCCTGATTTGAAACCAATGGTGCACATGGGCTCCAGCATCCTGAGGGAACAAATGGCGTATGAACCAATCGTTGGTCACCGTCTACCATGGGACTGCATCTCCTTACGATGCTCCACTGCCTTGTGGACTAGACCATTAGGTCAAAGGCTGTGGGTGTGGCCCCCTAAGAAAACCACCTGCTTCAGTCTGGGCACCCGGGCAGTATCATAGTCCTCATACAAATCAAATGAGATTTGTGAGGTGCATATTTATCTGGTGCTTCCTTATACCAATATTTATGTGTTTTAATAACAAATAATAAAAATAACTAGGGTATTCAAACCGTGCACAATGTTTTGACTCTGTTCCTATCTAACTTCTTCCCCGTTTTGCCATGTACGTTACTTTTTATTTTTATTTTCATTGTTTTTAGGTTGGGATTTCCCATATAAATTTGTGCGAATCTCCACACTTAAAAAATATCACTTTAGAAAATTGTACTGAACTAAAAGCTATCATATTCGACAATCATTCTTCACTAGTTGATTGTTCTAATCATCAGGATAATGTCAACTGCAAAGTTATCGATCGATTTCCAGCACTTCGGCGTATTCGAATAATTAATTGTCCAAAGTTTGCGATCTATAATTTCTTATCCAGTGTTGGTAAACTTTACCCTACACACAATGAAAATATATCTATAACATACAGGCAAGTATTTTTCCCCATCAAATTATTCATAGTATAATATATATGCATTTGCTTTATATAAAACAAAATCATTGTTACATCCAAAAATAGACACTTCTAAGAGCGTTTTGCATGCTGGCTCATCAGTTACAAGTTTAGACGCTTTCCTTGTGGCCTGAACGTCGGTATCAGTGCCTGAAGATAGTAAAAGCTGGCAACGATGATTGGGTGCAACATGCCAGCATTGTGAATCGTGAATGTGAGCCTTTTAAACTATCAGCAATGACAGTAGACCAATTCAAATGTCTTGTTTTCGTATGCAGCTTACAGTCTTCAGAAGATGCCGACATCAGAACCAGAATTCTAAGTAAAATTGAACAGTGTCCAAATATCACCCTTCAAGAGGTGACTACTGAATGTCAGCGTCTGGTGAACTTGAAACATGACACCTCGATGGTAGAAAATAATGGTCGACTTCCTTATGTACAGGCAGTAAGTGGGAAGAAAGATTCCTATATGCAAAAGCAGAACACAACCTGCAGGAAGCCTCCATCCGCATGTTGGTTTTGCGGAGGGGTACATTACAAAAGGTTCTGCCCATACAAAAACTACCGGTGTACCAAATGTCAGCTTAAAGGACATAAAGAAACATGTTGTAAGAAGAAGATGCACCATCGATCATCACGAAGACGTAAAAATTATTCCACAACTAAAAGGATAATGGTGGCACATACCAGAACAGAAAATAATCGAAGAAAATATGTGACTTTAGAGATTAATGGACGCCGTGCCCGTCTACAGCTTGACACTGCTTCAGATATTTCACTTATCAGCCGCAAAACATGGAGTCATATTGGCAAACCCTTGGTGCTCCCTACAACTCAGTTAGCACTCAGTGCATCTGGAGAGAAGGTAAATATTGCTGGAGAAATATGCTGTCCAGTTAAAAAAGGGAATGTACAGAAGAATGTGAAAGTATATCTCACTGAAAGCCCAGGACTAGATTTGCTTGGTCTTGACCTAATAGAAATGTTGCAGTTGGCTAACCAGCCAATTAATCATATATGTAGTCCGGTGAGATCTGATGCACTCTCAAGACTGATTGGTCCCCAGGCAAAACATGGAGAAGACGTACTCATTGCCACAGGAGAAGCTGAAGTTCAGGCAAAGAACCCAGGGATATTTGACAAAAAATCGCCACCCAAGGAAAGAAGAAAACCTGTACAAGAGTATCAGATGAACGACCGCAGCTTGAAGGTAGGTGAAAAAGTACTTTTGAAGTATCAAGGCGGTCAGAAATGGGAACCAAGTGTCATAGGACGGCGTATCGGGAAGGTACTTTATTTAGTCCGTGGAAGGGACGGAAAATGTATCAAACATATTAATCAGATAAAAAGGGATCATAGAACAGCAGCAATAGATACACAAGTACCGTTCCACATGCTGGTGGAGAAAAGCCCGAAAGAAGGCCGCAACCAACGACTAGAAAAACTTAAAAGTGAGAGCGCACAGCCGATGATGAACAGAAAAAGAAGAACAACAACAATGTTTCAAGAAGATCCAAAAAGAAATTCATACGTCACAGGCTTCAAAGGGGGGAGGTGTAAGGACGGCTCGTCGGTAGACTCTAGGAAGCCGTAAGAAGCCCAGGAAGAGCCACAGACATTCCATCCAATCACTGCTAGGGGAATGTTCTAGAATGTCGACGTGTAGCTTCCCCATTGGATGGATTAGAATGACCCCCTATGTGCCTATTGGTTGACCGAAATAATGATTTACATTCAGCCAAGAAACTATAAATACACGAGATTTCTGTACTATATTTTGACACTGATTTGGGGAATAAACATCCTACTTACTAGTCTTTGTCTTCTCTCTTTGCGACGTTGCGGGTTCTATCGTTCAAGTAGTCTAGCAGTACGCGGCATAGTAAGAACCAAAGCTCTAAATATAACATAAACTATGTAACTTAAATAATCTGCACGAACCTCCTATAGTAATAATGTAAAAAATATTGAAGACAGATAACGTTATAGGAGCAAATGTTTATGATAAATGAAAGTGTAGGATGTAAACTGAAGTTTATGCCGTGATAGTTCTCTTACTAGTTTAAAATTTATAATTTCCCTGTCTTGTTCCTTCTGTTTTTTATGTGCTTGGTTGATTTCATTATTCTTGTGTTCGAAATAACACATCTATCATTATTAAGTGGTCTACACACAAATATTCACCTGCACATTTTAATGAAATCAGTGTATTTGATAAATGTTTAGGTGATTTTCATTTGGATTCATTCCACTATTGTTCGACTGATGATTTCATCAATTTTTCAACAATGATTCAAATAAATCTCTCTTAAACCATATGTTTACCACATATTGTACTTAGTTGTCCATCTTTTCAATCAAATCCATAAATAAACATCTATATTTTCCTTCTTCACACTTGACAGTGAATATCTATATACTTTGGTTCCTCTTCTTTTCAATTTCATTACAGTCGTCAATTTTTCCGTATAAGATGTTATCACTGGTTGTTTGGGTAAAATATGTAAACCCGTATTATTGATAAAATAAATTTTATTGTCCAAAACTTATATGTATGTACATGATCGAACTCCAGATGCTTCCGATCTCACAGTGAACATGATACCAATTTGAATTAATTAAGTTTGAAACTCAATTATTCATATTTCCGAACTTATTGATCATCGTTATAACTTAACTTATTATTACAGATCTGATCACAGTAATAAATTCTCTCACTAATTATGCTGTCGACCACACTAACGTATATCTTATATGCATCTGTTCAAAAATATAGACTCAAATGTATTACAATGGTGTTTATTTCTCATTACCGTTCAGCAATAACGGTTTTCGACAATTTCCATATTTCATATTATGTCTGGTGTGTGAATTCCGAAATACTCTCTCATTTTTCTAGTAAAATAAACAGAGTGTAAATATACCAACCAACTACATCATTTCCTCTTTATTATTTCATGCTATTTACATTCACAATAAGTTCTAGACCTTTTACAAAACCTCACAACCATATAATACAATATATATGCGTAATTTTCAGTAAAGGTAAATAGCGTCTAGCAGTTCACTCCAGGATGAGCGTTTTGGTCGTCTCGGAACTCACTAGACTGGGTCTACGTGGTCTAAGTAGTTCGCATGGGATGTACATATTCTAAAAATTGACTGATCAATTGCTTTCCTTAGTATCAACGAAATGATACCAAGCTTCGTCAAAATAAATTTAAAACCGGAAATTTCATTTCAATAAATGCATAGTTTTAAAAATATGCTTAGCACTCTAATGTTGACAATATGATTGCAGCACTTTGATGTCAATTGTTGTGTTCCATTTGATATCAATGTGATATGATGAAATGTAGTTAGTTTTTACTTCGTGTACATATTTTATCAACAAATCGTGTTGCTACGAAGTTGAGCATAAAAGTCGAGTATGAATGGCATTTCGGATGCCTATATATCTCAGGCATGCTAATATTAAACGTCAGATCGACAACAAGGGATGCAGCGAATATTCAAAGCATTCAATTTTTGGGGAAAAACCTATTTGAAAGAGTAATGAGGTAGTGATTCAGTTTTTATAAATCGTGTAAGGGAATCAAAGGAGTGGCTGGATACATATGTATCATTTATGCATACATTTGCATAAAAAATGGTCGAGGTTAAGGGTTAGTAATTGGTATAACTGGAGTAGCGTTAATGATAGTTTACGTGGCCTGAAGCTAGAATAAATCACTTAGAAGCATGATAAATTAATACGGCTTTCTATACTACTCCATCACCATTAGTCAATTTGTGATGTAAAACAAAACAGTGACTACTGTCAACGTTTATAAACACCTTCAAATAGTCAATTTTTGTGTTAATCGGTTGTGTTTTGATAAAAAGTCCTGTTTTATTTTAACCTTGTTCTTTTTTGGTTAAAAATTAACCTTTTTTATAGACCATTTGGACAATATAATACTCAGGTAGAGCGAGCATTATGGGATTATTGTCAGCATGCTCACATACTTATTTCACATGACTACAAAGTTTGGGAAAGTGAACGTGCCATGGAAGATTTTCATTCTACGTTTGATCAGTTGTTTAGAGAAGTGATCAGTTTCTCAGAGTAAGTTTATATTTAGCGTGTGTGCAACCCAGTGAAAATGTTTGCTGAAATGATGATCTACTGTAGATGACTTTAACTGTATGGAAAACGTTCATTGAAACGATAATCTTAAATCCTACTTTTAAATTTTAAAAATATATATCTGATAAGTCGAGATAAGAAGGCGAATTGACGTTTTTTCGTATCTCTGTGTCATATTTTATGACTTTTTATGGGACCCTAACCAGGTAGTCATGAAGGGCCGACAGATAGCATTCCTGTGCAGCTTTGTTGCAGACCGCAAAACCATTTCACAGACTGATCACTTCTCCGCTTTTTTCAATTAGTCCCAGCGTCTACTAATAATGAACAATATGGGATTCACTGGGATGACAATCTTAGTACATGTCCAAGTCACCGAAGTCGGTGTTTCAAGATATTGATATAAATTGAATTATCATCACTGTACCTGAACACACGTTGACAAGCCCCTGCTGTAATAACATGGTGCTACCATTGAATGTTAGCAACCAGCCCAACGAGTCAGCTCTGTGTCCTCATTAGTCCTCTGTATAGTAGCTTTTCGCCTAACCCACCCCAGTTCGGTCCAGAATACAAATATCAGCCTCCGCTACATGCATCGTATATTTTATACATACGTATTTTATGTACAAGCAGACCAGACTGCATCACACCATATAACAAAAAAAATTATACAAGATCAAGCCAAAAGTGATTATGAGCGTGGGTTACTGTAACTGATAGATTGGGAATAAGTTAAGAATGGTAAATCCTATAACAGTAAGCAATAGATCGAGTATATATAGCATTCAACTTCCGACTAATCAGTGACTCGAGATCGTTTAAGTGGAACAGGATTTCCGTAGTAGTGCAGCTGCTGTACGAGTTGAAGAATTATAGAATGTACAATATGGGAGTGAAGAAATAAACAAGTTGCTTAATGTAAAACGAAACCGAGTATTAACAAGTAGTTTCGATTATGACTTGTGAGAATAGGAATTAAAGCGCAAATAGTTTTCCTATTTGTATTCATCATTTCGTTTGTGTGTGGGCTGGGATACTGCCCGGATGCCCAGACCGAAGCGAAGCAGGTGGCTTTTTTAGGAAGCGAATCCTCGGGCCTTTGGCATAGAGATATAATCCACATGGCAGTGGAACAGTGTTAGGAAATGCGGTCCTATGATAGCTGTTGACCAAGAATAAGTTCATACTCTCTTTGTTCCCTCAGAATCCTGAAGCCTATGTAGATCATTGGTTTGGAATCATGGTTTTTTAACTCCTCAAGGTGGATTTTGCGAAACCACACGTGCTTTTACAATAACTTATATGGTAGTAATTGATCGTGGATTGTGTAATAAAATAGTATGTAAATAAATGTGTTTGTTTTCATGATGGCGTTCATGGATGAATCCATTGGGGACGTTTTTTCGAGTCTTCAGTGCACCGATCTTTGCTTTTTTAATTCGTTTTCTGAGAACTGCGGTGGTTCTCGTTTCCAAGTATAACTAGTGGGCTTGTGGATACTACAATTTTCTGGACATTAAGTAAATAACCTATAACACTATCGTCAATTAACTCAAAGTTCATTGGTTGAAATTTTTGTCCTTGAGTACTTATCCGACCTTCCTCCAATTATGTTTGAATTATCGTTCTGAATAGCCTCACTTTTCTAGTGATGTAATCCACTCAATTCTGTTTTATGGTATGATCCCACAAGGTATTTAAGACTTGTCAGACATCGATTTTAATTTTTCCATATTCTTTTTGGTTCTTCAGTCCTGCTAGTCTGGAAGATTTCTTGAATGAAAATGAAGTTAGATGTTTTAATGCTTAGATAAACTGTTCATTATCCAGTAGGATTATGTGTTGCATCTGATCTCACATGCTTCAGTGCTTAACAGTTATGCGTTTACTTTTCAATAGACGTGATGCATTTAAAATCTAGCAATCTTATTTAATATTAGATTATAACTTTTGATTATCAATAGACAGAAGTTGGAAAAAGTTAGATATGCAATTCATCTTTAATTAGTATAGCGATAATCCTGGTTTCATTGTCTGAATATATATGTGGTTGGTAATCTAGAGTTCGCATACAAATTATTTACTTAAATTTTCAGTTGTATTTACTATCACTAAATTGTCTTTCATTTTATTTATGTAATTCATAAAACGTCTTGTACAACCGGGAACCAAAAATAGCATACTTACTTACTTTGACCTGTTACTCCTCGTGGAGGAACATGTACCGCCCACCAGCATTCTCCATCCAATCCTGTCCTGCGCAATCATTTGCAGTTCTTTCTAATTGCTGCCCATCCTTTCTACATCTACTTCTATTTGCCGACGTAATGTGTTCTTTGACCTTCCTCTTTTTCTCTTCCCTTCAGGATTCCAAATTAGGGCTTGCCTCGTGATGTATTTTAGTGATTTCCTCAATACATATCTTATTCGCTTCCTTTGTGTATGCTGGAGCCTATTGAGTCAGAGGCTGATGTTAAATTAGTTGTCTTCGTCTGTATTTGTTCGTGTGTACGGATAGGAGGGCTAGGTCATCTGTGAAGTCCAAATAGATTAATTGACTCTGAGATGTCCACTGTATTCCGTGCTTCCCCACATGTGTCGAGGTCTTCATAATCCAGTTAATCACCAGAAGAAAGAGGAAGGGGAAGAGTAGACAGCCTTGCCTGACTCCGGTCCTTACTGAAAATACATCTGTCAGCTGTTCGCCATGCACAAATTTGCAGTGTGGTCCATTGTATGGATTTTGGATGATTTTGACAATCTTCTCAGGAACTCCATAGTGCTTAAGAAGTTTCCATAATGTTCTCCCGTCCACACTGTCAAACGCCTTCTCATAGTCAATGAAATTGATGTATAGTGACAAGTTCCACCCAACTGATTGTTCGACGATGATCCGTAGCGTCACAATTCGGACTGTGCACGACCGATCATTACGGAATCCAGTCTGTTGATATCGAAGTTGAGCGTCTACTGCGTCTTTCATCCGGCTCAGCAAAACTCTGTTGAAGACTTTTCTTGGTACTGACAACAGTGTGACGCCTCTGTAATTCTCACATTTGCTCAGATCTCCATTCTTTCGTATCTTGATGAGTTCTTCCTCCCAAATCTTCTTGAATAGAAGGTGAAGCATGTTTACAGTTACTTCAATGTCTGACTTCAGTGCTTCATCTGGTATATTGTCAGATCCTTCCGCTTCCTTCTCTTGATTCTGAGGCTCTAAACTTATAACTTTGTGGAAACGTTTTGAGAGAATAAGTTGACACACTTTCGACTATAACAATGCATTCTAGGACCTTACTTCGATTATTATTTTTTTAAAATAATTTTTCCTCATCTAACAGAAGAGAATGATATATGTAAATCTTAATCTATCAATTACTGAACCGAGGCATCTGTTTGTGTGTTTCAACTTCAAAGTTTAGTATATAATGCATTTTTTATTTTACACTGTCATGTAGTATGGTTATTCGTCGAGACCTCCTACCTGTGTATCCTCATCCCATGGAATACATACAAAATTCATTTTATAAACGCTGTGAACTTGGTAAGCAACACTACTTCGTTGTATTTGATTTGCTGTTTACTTTTATTTTGTCAAATTGTTATGGTCTTGATATCGAATCCTAGTGATTCTATCACATTTTCTGTGAAATGTATAATTAAGCCAAACATGGATACATACGTAGTTTGACATATGTACCATTGATTTCCGGTCCAATTATTTAAATTTTTGGCTTTCGGCGCGAAACCTGAAGATCTTGGGTTCGGTCCCTACTGAGGTCGTGGATGTACTCTGCTAAGAAGTCTCGTTCTGAAACAAAATAAGCTATTCGGCCTTCTCTAGTTTTAGTGTTTGTCTAAATTGATTCAATACTCAGGATCGCAATAACATACTCCTCTGTCGGTTCATCATTTTTCGAGCGTTCAAAGTTCCATAGACTATTTCCGATGTTTGGTTGTTAAATTAAAATCGCGAAAAGTACCCATGATTAGGTGCATATAATGGGTTCGAAAACAGCTCTTAACAAATATTCCTCTTATCTGTAAATCTTTACTGATTCCTTGTTAATTTTCTGTTTATCAAACTCAGAATCTTGAATAAATGTATTCACAATTCTTTATGATTAATTCTCTCGATGTTTTTTTCCATCATCGGTTACTTATTTGGTGAAGAAAGACAACACTAACGCTCTGCTTTGCTCAAATCAACAACTTATTCATCGAATCGGTAGCTAGATATAATTCTGTGCTTTGAGCAATACTTTTTCCTGTTAAGAATAATAGCCATTTCTGTTCGTTCAAACCCTGAAATAGGCTGAACGGAGTTTCCACCTGTAATACAGTTGTGAAATATTCTAGCTAGTAAGCCGCTACACAATAGAGAGGTTTTATGTGTTTTTCGATTATTTCACTCCTATTCAATCGTTAAAGAACGTGTATGGATGATATAATTCTATACTTTGTATTTGTAGAGAGGTAGGTGACTTATTGGCTAAAACATTTAACATTAAGTCAGCTGGTCAAATGTTCAGACCCTGCTGTATCCACCTCGGTGTAAGCAACTGAATATTATCACGGTAAACCAGGCAAAACACAAACATTTACCCCATAAATGAGATGCATTCATTAACCTTCATATTAACAAATTTCAGTTTTCCTTGTTGTGGGAGGTGGTTGGAAGCAATCGGTACGATTTTCTGTGACAAGATTTTGTGCTGGTTAGCATTCGTCAACATGACATAGATGCGATAACCAATAGTCCCTGTGAGTTTCGAATCCTCATCACCCAGTGTTACAGCTAGTCACTATTTACCTTAGTAGCCTGTGACTGTTTTTTCCAATTGTTTTATTGCTTTTTGTGCTTTGTTCACTCTTCATTTTGTTTAACTTTTTCAACTTTTCCCTCCAGGTTTTGAGTGGGATTTTATTACAGATATACCATGGGTTCATGAAGTATGTTGTTCTCTTCTTAAAAATAGTGAACAACATCGATCTGATCAAGCTGATCAACTTTATGAATTACTGTCGGAATATCAAGCAGCATCAGAAAATTTGAAAATTCAACGACATGGTATACATTATCATGTGCAATTTCGAAATGTTCACTCGCACATTGATATGTGTAATAATGATTCGTCGAGTATGAGAGACAATGATAGCTTAAATTATTTCTTAAAGCGTAAACCTACTTCTTATATTAACTGGCCATATTCTGAAAATAATTTACTTTCTACCTATCCTTCTGATGATCTCAATGCAATGAAGAATATCTTAAAAGAAAACCGCCCATCTTTTGTTCAGAATATGTCTTCAGACAATTGTTCACAAGCAACAATAATTAAAGATGATAATAATATTGAATTTTTACCTTGGAAACGTTTATTACTATCACAAGAAGAAATATTTAGTGCTGAATTTGTGAATCGTGACAAATCATCAAGCTTAGCATCATTCCCTAATAATATTAAACCTTTATCTAAACAAAATTCTTTATCCCATTTGTCAAATGTCATTATGAATAAATCATTTTCAACGTCTGATAATCGTTCAAAAAAATTTACCCCATCTTCCACTTCGAATTTTTCCTCATCTCCCACGTCCCGACAACAATCATCATCCATATCTTCTTCTGCAATAACTACTATATGTGATCATTCTACTTTAATTTCATCCTCCCGTAAACGTTCACTTCCTCCAACTAAATTATTTTCGAATTCTTGTAAAAAGTTTAAGTTAAAACAGTGATTATCTCATTTCCTTTAATGGTTTGTATGTATGTTTGTTTCTCAGTTTTTATGCTTGTGCGTAGACGCATGTATGTACTTAACTGTTTCTTACCTATCATATCCTCTCTGATTCACTCTCTCTTTACTTATTTACACTATTTCTTATTACACCTATATCTTGTGCTCTTCTCTTATTAAAACTCTTTGTTATCAATTCTGTGTTCCTTAATAAACAAACACATAAAATTGTATACAGTTGTTGAGTTCTCTTTATTGTCGTATTTATAATACCTTTTGTCCCACACATTCATGCACACTCTTTTTATTTGATTACCGTCCCGCTCCGCATCTCGACATAATCATCACGTTTAAAATGTATTGTACATTGATGATGAATAATAGTAATATTGTTATTATTATTACTGTTACTATTATTATTAATATTAATCTCAGCCACACTATTAAGCTACTTGTTTAACAATGCGATTTATATTGGACCAAATATATTTTCAAACCATATATATATATATCGTCTTTTAGTTATTTAAAACAAGTTTGTGCGATGTACCGACTTTATAACTGGACTCTCTTACACTGTGTGTACGCGTGTGTACTCTATTTGCTACATACATTATACCAGTATGATAGTAAATAGAATTAGCAGTCGTTATAAATCAGCAAGAAGCTTCTTATAATATAGTTGTAAATTGAGTAAACGTACTACAATCGTCACCGACCTATTGATTGACAGAAATTAAAAATAAAATGCCTGAACACACTACTTATTTAGGACTGTTACTCCTCGTGGAGGAACATGTACCGCCCACCAGCATTCTCCATCCAATCCTGTCCTGCGCAATCATTTGCAGTTCTTTCTAATTGCTGCCCATCCTTTCTACATCTACTTCTATTTGCCGACGTAATGTGTTCTTTGACCTTCCTCTTTTTCTCTTCCCTTCAGGATTCCAAATTAGGGCTTGCCTCGTGATGTATTTTAGTGATTTCCTCAATACATATCTTATTCGCTTCCTTTGTGTATGCTGGAGCCTATTGAGTCAGAGGCTGATGTTAAATTAGTTGTCTTCGTCTGTATTTGTTCGTGTGTACGGATAGGAGGGCTAGGTCATCTGTGAAGTCCAAATAGATTAATTGACTCTGAGATGTCCACTGTATTCCGTGCTTCCCCACATGTGTCGAGGTCTTCATAATCCAGTTAATCACCAGAAGAAAGAGGAAGGGGAAGAGTAGACAGCCTTGCCTGACTCCGGTCCTTACTGAAAATACATCTGTCAGCTGTTCGCCATGCACAAATTTGCAGTGTGGTCCATTGTATGGATTTTGGATGATTTTGACAATCTTCTCAGGAACTCCATAGTGCTTAAGAAGTTTCCATAATGTTCTCCCGTCCACACTGTCAAACGCCTTCTCATAGTCAATGAAATTGATGTATAGTGACAAGTTCCACCCAACTGATTGTTCGACGATGATCCGTAGCGTCACAATTCGGACTGTGCACGACCGATCATTACGGAATCCAGTCTGTTGATATCGAAGTTGAGCGTCTACTGCGTCTTTCATCCGGCTCAGCAAAACTCTGTTGAAGACTTTTCTTGGTACTGACAACAGTGTGACGCCTCTGTAATTCTCACATTTGCTCAGATCTCCATTCTTTCGTATCTTGATGAGTTCTTCCTCCCAAATCTTCTTGAATAGAAGGTGAAGCATGTTTACAGTTACTTCAATGTCTGACTTCAGTGCTTCATCTGGTATATTGTCAGATCCTTCCGCTTTCCTACTCTTGATTTGTCTGCTGACCATCTTGACTTCTTCGATCGTTGGTGGAATGACATGTGTAGGAAGGTCTGTGTGTGCTGCCTCGATGTCCGGTGGATTCAATGGAGTTGATCTATTCAGCAGTCCCTCGAAGTAATCTGCCCATCTTTTTCTATGTTCTTGAATCTCCGTGATTGTCTTCCCTTCTTTGTCCTTGACTGGTTTCTCTGGTTTACTATATCTCCCTACTAGTTTCTTCGTTGCAATTGTAGTTGTTTCCTATTCCCTTCCCTTGCAGCATTTTCCACAATGGTTGCTAGTCCTTCCATGTATTTCTGTTCGTCATCTTTAATGCTCTTCTTCACTTGCTAGTTTGATTTTGTGTACTCAGCTTGTGCCTCGACTTTCTTTGCTCGTGTTCGACTGTTGTTAATTGCTGTTTTCTTGTTCTTCCTTTCTTGAATCTTGTCCAGGGTTCCGATCGAGATCTATTCCTTATGATGATGCTTCTTGCCACCCAGAACCAAACCTCCTGACACGTTGGAGTTAATTCTTTTTTCATCCGTTTCTAGTTGTCCTCCATCGTAGGTTCTTATTCTTTGAGTAGATCTCGTAAGGCTTGGAACCTATTATTGAGATTTATCTTGAATTGGTTGAGTTTGTTCGTATATCGAAGGCTGTATTGAACCTTTGTAATACTGTTTGTCCAGTTGTCCAATGCTTCTTTAGCTTCAGTTTCATCTTGACAACGACCAGGTGGTGATCTGTAGCTATGTCAGCACCTCTCCTGGTTCTCACATCTTCCATTGACCTTGTGAATTTTTTACTGATGCAAATATGATCGATCTGGTGGTTCTCTGTGGTGTGGTCCGGTGAGATCCATATGGCTTTGTGTAAGCGTTTGTGTGGAAATATTGTGCCACCTAAATCGTTTCGTTGAATCCCCATAGATTTGCAAATCTGTCACTATTCTTGTTCCTTTCTCCCAGCCAGTCCATGTCTTCCCTTGATATCTTCATATCCGGTGTTTTCCATTCCGACTTTGACGATTAGGTCTCCCAACAGGATTTTCAAGTCCTTTCCTGTGCACTTATCTAAGATTAACTAGAGCCTCTTGTAAAACTGACCTTCATCGTCATTGTTGTCATTATTGGTGAGTGCCTAACATTGGATAACACTCATTGTGATTCCTTCATTTTTTTGTTTTGAAGGATGGTCTGATGATTCCTGATCCGTAAGTTTCTGACTCTACAAGTGCATTTCGTGCTTCTCTGGAGAGCATTAGAGCAAGTATATGAGTGTGTGGAGCATTTCCTTTTTCGTTACCGGGGTACAGCAGCATCTCCCCTGTATCTAGCCTTTGTTGTCCAGCTTGGGTCCTATGGGTTTCGCTGATTCCAAGTACTACCAATTTATACTTCCTCATTTCCGTTGTTATTTGACTGGTCTTCCCGATCTCCCATATTGTCCGGACATTACTTACTTACTTACTGACGCCTTTTACTTCCAATGGAGCATAGACCGCCAACCATCTTTCTCCAACCCACTCTGTCCTGGGCCTTCTTTTCTAGTTCTATCCAGTTCGTGTTCATTCTTCTCATGTCTGTCTCTATTTCTCGGCGTAATGTGTTCTTTGATCTTCCTCTTCTCCTTTGACCTTCAGGATTCCATGTGAGGGCTTGTCTTGTGACGCAATCAGGTGATTTCTTCAAGGTGTGCCCAATCCACTTCCAGCGCTTCTTCCTCTGCTGGAATCTGGTTTGTTGTCTCCCACAGTAACTTGTTGCTGATAGTGTCTGGCCATCTGATCCGAAGTATTTTGCGTAGACAGCTGTTAATAAACACTTGTATCTTCTGGATAATGGCTTTCGTAGTTCTCCACGTCTCCGCCCCATACAGTAGAACTGTCTTCACATTTGTATTGAGAATTCTTACCTTGGTGTTGGTTGACAATTGTTTTGAGCTCCAGATGTTTTTTTAGTTGTAGGTATGCTGCTCTTGCTTTGCCGATCCGTGCCCTCACATCTGCATCTGATCCACCGTGTTCATCAATGATACTGCCCAGATATGTAAAGGTTTCCACATCTTCCAAAGCTTCTCCGTCAAGTGTGATTTGATTGGTGCATATTGTATTGTATCGGAGAGTTTTGCTTTTCCGTTTGTTTATATTGAGACCTACTGCTGCTACACTGGTCGTTTTCTCCTGCATTTGTTGTTGCGTTTGTGATAGAAGAGCCAGATCATCCGCGAAGTCTAAATCGTCAAGCTGCATCCTGCCTGTCCATTGTATCCCATGATTTCCTCCAGATGTTGACGTCTTCATGATCCAGTCGATCACCAGGAGAAAGAGAAAGGGTGAGAGTAAGCAACCTTGTCTAACACCGGTCTTTACTTCAAACGAGTCGGTGAGTTGTCCTCCGTGGACGATTTTGTAGTTTAATCCATCATAGGAGTTCCGTATGATATTGACTATTGACCGTTGCTGCTACCTTGACGTGGTGGTCGGGCTTGCCTATCGTGATGAACCAATCAAACTATACTGGCTGGAACAATCGTTCCTCAAGGTCCTACCATGCCAGACAGGTCGGTTGAAGAGCGGTGAGACTAAAAGCAGCAAACCCAAGGTCCGAAGGCGAAGTCGTACTGTCGACTGTACAGAGGTGTGACGGCAGTAAGGTGTTTCCTTCAGACAACCAGCATGACAGCGATGCTGCCTTCCCACAAGGATGGGTGGGGTTAGAAATGGTCGGCCCTAAAAATGCACACCTCGCCTTATCCCACGGATATCCGTCTCCGGCGGTAAGGTTTTTTTTGAAGAACGGAGCTAACACAAAAACTACCCACAAAAAGGTCGTGTGTGACCGACCTCAAGCAGTTGTCCCTTGGGCACTGCGGTCACGCTCTCAGGTCATTAAGACCACTTCTAACCCAATTTACTTTTCAGGTACCCCCAGGAGAACCCTTCCACGGTGTGGGCAACCGGGAAGTGATAACTGCCCTCATACCTCTAACAGCACTCAAGACCACCGTATTCATAATCAATCTCCTTCAATTCCTACTATTCCTTCTACCTTGACTTTCAACACTAAACTTCCTGTTCCGGTTTCCTCCTCAAGTGTCACCATGGCCAACGATTCTAGTGCGCGAAACACTGTCCCAGGTCTACTTAAACCTCTCTCCAAACTGCACATTGTAACCTTCAACGTACGTACTCTATGTCAAATCGGTCAACAGGCCTCCTTGGCTAAGACCCTTGAATCTCGTACGATTGATGTATTCTGTGTTCCTGAAACACGCATACAGGATCCTAGTGTGGCATTCACTTGACCTCACCTCGCCAAAATGGACAGCCAACGAAATGCACCTTCCGTGTATCTGGCGACCCGTTGGCTAGTTCTCGTGGACTTGCAGGTGTAGGCATAACACTTGATACGAGGGCAGAACAGGCACTATTAGAATGGATCCCCGTTAACAGTCGCCTGTGTGCTGTCCGGCTAAATGGCCCCATAAGAACTCAGAAGGATAGGGACACACGTCGTTGCCTTTTCGTCGTTTCCGCCTACGCTCCCACCGACTGCAGCCATGATGAAGTGAAAGATGACTTTTACAGAAAGCTCTCTGAGCTTCTTCAGAAAGCTAAGCGCTCAGACATGGCACTCATAGCGGGTGACTTTAATGCCCAGGTAGGCAGCTTGAATCAAACAGAAAGACATTTAGGTGGGTGTTTTAGTATTCCGGCTCAACGAACCGA